CTTTTAACCCCTTACATACAGAGGCCATTTTGTCTTATCATGAGGGCAAAATCACATTTGTGAATTGAAAAAATTGTAGAGAACTTATCATTTATTATATTTCAGATTTTATTTTTGTAAATAGTAGCATAACATTCAATTATTTGTACTAAATTGTATTATTTAATGAAGTTTGAAGAGAAATTTAATAAAAAAAATTCCAACATACTTTGAGACTCTAAATAAGTGCCCTCTAAGAAAAATAAATTTTTCAACATGTAAAAGAATTTTTTCCTTGCATTTTAGTGCTGATCTTGCCATCTATGATTAGTATTTAAACCTTTTGTCTAGTCTGTTTTCTTTATAAAACAGTGTCTGGGCATGATAAACTTCAGTTGTAAAACTTTTAGCCAATTTTGGTCAAAGTTGTCAATTTCAGTACCGTGTTATTCCAATTGCAGTATTTCACATTTGACAAATTATAGGATGATAAGCAAAGCACGTGACGAACTGATGTTCTCTGTATTTTACAATATCAACATGTGTGGTTCTTATTATAGTAACTGCCATTTTATGTAGAGGTTGTATTTAGTAGTGGTCAATAGTACTTTTTTATAAGCCTTGGAAAATTTGTTTCTGGAAAAAACTGCATGGGATGGATGTGACTTTTATGATTTTTGTATAGTAGCTTAATTCGTGCTATATCGTATACCTATTTATATTAATCATTATATTGAAAAATTAACTCAAAATAAATATTTTTAGGAAAGAAGTTGATCCACGAATGTTAGGGTTAAGATCTATCGAGTGGCGAGTCCATGGTCTTTATGTGGATTACGCTTAGCACTTTGAACTGAAAGAGTTTGTGATTTTTATATTCTTTTGCATTTAGATTAGCAGTTTTATGTTCAACAATTTAGCATGATTTTATATTTGGTTCATAATAAATATATGATTCAGTATTCAGAATGATAACCTTGTATGATTTGTATATACCACAAGTACCACGTAAGAATTTTATTGTTTTCCTTTTATACTATCTTTATACACTTTTGTTGTTGTTGCTTTATAATTAAAACAGTCTAACTGATATATAAAAAACTTATTCTGATATTATGCAAATGATTTAAAACTCAGTGTACAAGTGACAACAATAAAACCCATATGTTGGTTGTGAAAGTGTGAAACAGGCTAAACACATTTGTCTCAATAATACAGGGGAAGCTGTGACATTCTCACAGTTGGGGTCTCAATACACTGAAGAGCTTAAGTTTCAAATTCTAAAATAAATCTTGCCTATAATGAGTGGAATGTGACCAGGACTAATCTCTTTAAGTGCTGTAAAGTGATTTTCTTTGTAATTTATGGTGTATGTATCATTTGGTAATCTCTTATAACTGGAGTCAGGCAGTGTTATTCAAACCATTGTATTGTAAGCTATTACATACATTCACTAGTAGTGGCAATTAAAGTTTTGTCTGTGTAGTGAAACAACATACAAGGACATGTGCTGAAATAAACTTGTTTGAAAGTTCAAAGAAACAAAACAAGTACGGAAAAGCTTTCTCACTATCATATCTACAGTAACGTTCAAATGCGCCTGCACTGGACTGAAAGAGAGTGACCCAAACAGTCGTGATAGTTTACGAAGTTCACACTGCTAACATCACAGTATTTTTGGCACAATGAACAAAAGTGCAGCTGCAATTAAACATAAACTTGAAATAAAAATATTTATGAAACAAAATTAACATATTTTTTAAGTACATATATAAATGTGAAATCCTAGTTAAAAATAAAAAATACTTGTTTATTGTTTAGGTTTACTTACAAATATTATTTTTGTTTTTGAATATTACTTGAAACCGTATGAATGAT